TGTGCTGACACGTCTTTCCAGAGGCGTAAATCCTGGGGGGCCGAGGGGGCCGGACCCCCCAATATTGACAGAGTCTAGAACTGAAGAAACACATGAACAAAAATCAAACCGCAGTTTATTTCATTACTTTGAATCCTGATAAACTTTATGCTTTGGAAATCAAAGCTAGCTAAACTGCTACATTGCTTTCATAGACTTAGCTCCTTTTTCTGTCAAAGGCAGACAATATTTCAGTTTTATTTATGTCTCTATTACTTTAATAAGAGGAGTTTGAAACTGGAGCGGCTGAGCGTTAGCATTAGCTGATAGCTGGGAGCAGAGGGGCGACTGCAGCTGGCAGTAAAAAATAAACTGTCTTTATTTCTTACCATCTTCAACGTAGAGCCGTTAAAACCACAAAATAAAATCTGAAATTTTCTAGAAAACTGGTGCTGAGCTTTAAGTTAAAGTTCTCAAATATTCAACTCCTACATATTTATAGGTTCTCAGATATCCAGGACATGAAAAAACAAAAATAATAAATAAAAGTTTAAAGAAACTTAAGTTATAATTTAAATAACATGACTTGTATTGAGAGCCACTGAAATAAATCAATATTTATGAGGAGTTTTATTAAGTGGGGTTACTTATTAAAACTTGTTTATGTCAGGATTTGAGTTTTCTGAGTTTATTCTGTTTTTTTCTGTGTATTGTGATCCTGATCCCTGTGAGTCTCCTGTCTGCTCCTGATTGTCTCGTCTCGTTACCTCCATGTGTTTAAGTCCATCTGTTGTCTTTGTCATGTCGGGTCCTTGTCATGAGTCATTGTTCTCTGTCAGTCTGTTCAGGACCTTTTTTCCTCTGTTCCTGTTTAGATTTTGTTTTTGTGGATTTTTCATTAAAATCATCATTTCTCTTCATTCTTCCTGGTCCTGCTGCGTTTGCCTCACCTCCACCGCATCATGACAGAAGGACCCGACCAGAGAGGAAACCAGTTCCTAACATCATGGACCCAGCAGACCGGCGTTACCTGTTGAGGGAGATGAAGAAATACGACGAAGGAACTTCCAAACCGTATTCGCTGTTCAAGCAGCTCAACGCCGCCACTCGTATGGCGATGCAGCTGGGTGGATCCCTCTTCTCCCTCAGCTTTTTCAGAGAGGCAGAACTGCAGACAGTAAAGGCGGTTCTGTTCTGACTGCAAGATGAAGCCATGCAGCCCCACCTCCAGTTCCAGTCCCTGCTGGGGTTTGAGTTTTCTGTTTGGTTTTGGTTGTTTCCTCCACCACATCATGACAGGTTTTAGTCAGAGCCATTAGATCTGCGACTCTGATCCAAACTTGTATCTGAACATTTGAATCCTAGTTTGACTCTATGCAGGTTTACTGAGAAAAACACTTTTACTTACTTGTCATTTTGGTCCTGCAGCTTCAACACAAACAATGTAAACCACATTATTATATTTGACTGTAACTTTGCCAACCCCCCCAAAATGTCCCTGTTTATGTTTCCCCAGTAATGAGGTGGGATTTACGCCTTTGGTTCTTTCAGAATCTCACATTTTCAATCCAAAGAGCTGAGAAAGTTATAAAATATTTAGTACAGTTAAGCACCAAATGTGTTTTTAATGCTGTTTTACCTTGAACTGTCTCATGAACCTTATAAAAACACTCAAAACCAATTTTACTGAAGAAATAATTTGCACCATTTTGCTTTTAATATTTCAGATCTTCAAACATTTTATCAGACAAAAAATAGGATTTAAAATCTCGATGTAGGTGAATAAATCAACAAAATGTTCAGTTTGTCAGTTATTCATGTTATCAAATTAAATCAGTTTCTATTTGTGTAGATTTGAGGATTCAGATCAGGTTTAATTCACTGTTCACATTGAATCAGGTTGAAACCTGGAAATCGAAATGCGGCTTCTAAATCGGAAATCTTGTCTAGAAATGGCGGAGAGCTACAACTTAGACATCTGCCTGGGCCGATCCTTCTGGGTGAGTACTAAACACGCCTACACACACACACACACACACACACACATACACACACACACACGCACACACACATACACACACAGGAGGGGAGGATGAAAAAAGAACAGGCTGTTCTCCTGTAAACATTTTTGCATTATTTTAACTCCAACTATTTTCAAGCTAAATAATAAAATTTGAACGTTTAAATTGAAAAATAGGAAACATGAAGCGGAGATCCTGATTTGTTGGAGAGTTTAAACCTTTTTGAGGACAAAATGCTTTTAGGTGTTTATAGTTTTCTACTCTCAGCTATAATAAAATACATCAAACATTTTTAGTGCAAACTGGGCTGAAGAATGTTTGATACACGATTCAAGGTTTTTTTTTTAATCTGACAATCGATCATCTAATACGGAAGAAGATTAGGGCCACCGGGAAAAAATATAATTATGACTTTAAAGTCAGAATTATATTTATTTATTTATTTTTTTTTTTTTTTTCAGTGGCCCTAATCCTCTTCCGTAAATTGCAGGTCATCGTTTATGACTTTAAAAACAGAAGTAGATTTAATATTTCACAAATTCGGCCAAAGTATTGTACATGACGGTCTGAAATTTGATTTTAAAAAGAGTCCGAGTTGCTTTTCAAGCCTGAAGGAGAATCGATCCGTTCAATCCAGATGATTGGAGCTCATCCAGAAACCTGGGAGTCTCTGGACAGAGCCCTGCTTTTACTTTTTCTCTTTTAATCAACTTAATCAACTTTACTTCCTAAATATTGGAAATTTTACATATATAAGTGCAAAAAAGACAGTTCTCCATTTTTGACTGGATAAGATTTATTACCGAAATATTCCGACATAAAACAGGAAATTTATATGTAACATCAGAACAAAACCACAAGTTTCCAGATTATAAATTAGACATTTGAGACAGAAATAAATACCAGAGGTTCAAACGGGTTCTCCTTTTCTGGGTCAGAACTCCCGGGTCCAAACGAACGTCAGGAAGTAAAAACACAATAATATGCTGAATAAAAATGTTCTTTAAAAAAAAAACAGAAAAAGTCCATTAAAGTAATTAAATGTCCTAAAATCCAGGTTTCCTCAGTTCAACTCTGTTCTCGTTTCTCAAGAACCCATAAATCTTTGGGTTCATTAAATCCTGAGCCTCCATCTTCCTAGTGAAACCAGTTTCCACCCAAACTTTCCTCTCTGACTCTCGTCCTTCTCTCAACCAATCAGCAGCTTCCAGCTCACCGCAGGCTGGGTCCTTCACTCCGGAGATTTCTGTCAGGCAGCTGGTTGGCCACCTCAGGCCACCTGAGCAGATGACGGTATTAACCACGTCTGCAGTGGATTGTAACAACTTTATGAAAGGGCAGAAAATATGTTCAGTAAAACCTGAGAGTCAGAGAATAAAATCACACAAACAATAAAAATAAACTTGACTTTATGAATAAAGTTGATATAAAACACCTCAAATATTCGCTGCATGATAAATCCACACCTGAGACGTGAGAATCTGCATCATGGCTGCGTTGGGTTTGGACCAGGAAATGTTCTGGTCCAGGTCCAGTTCTGACTGGACTTCATCCACATATTCATTTTACCACTTGAACCTTTTCAATTTCTGTAATCTGTTGTAAATGTCAGGATATTTCAGTTTTTAAATGCAGAAATTCAGTTTTTTTCAATCATTTTAAATGTTTATGTTAAATTGCTTCACTTGCAGATTTAAAACTTTTCCACAAGCAACAATATCCAAGTTTTTTGTTTTAAATGTGACATTGATTAAAACATTTCATAGTTTCCTGGTGGAACCAAGTGAAGGTTCTGTTGAAGTTCTGATTCCTATAACATTCATCAACACATATTTACAGATATTAATGACCTGGACTGGTTAATCCATGTCTGCCTGTCCTTGCAGCTTCCATGTACTTGGTCTCCAAACTGTCCTCCGTCTGTCCAACGGTGTCCTGCGTCGCAGACATGGCAACCCGTCTCTGTTTGCTCCTGGCTCTCTGCATCGTCCTGTCAGGCTGTGAAGCAGCAGGTCAGTTCAGACCAATGAAACCAGTGAAGATGGAGCTGATTCTCTCTAACCGCTCTGCTCTGTTCGCTCCTCTCCTGCAGATCCTGTAAACATCACAGCAGAACCTGGACAGAACGTCACTCTGACATGTAGAGCTGCTGGGAACAGCATCGTTACAGCTGTGAGGCTGACCAGAGACAACCTGGAACCACGATATGTGCTGCTCTACAGGGATGGGCAGATTGATGAAGAGCAGCAACATCCACAGTACTTGGGCCGAACCAAACTCCAAAGCCTCATCAGCACCGATGGAGAAATTAATCTGACTTTAGACAATGTGACAGAGAAGGACAGTGGAGTGTATGAGTGTCGAGTCAGAACTGAAATAAAGAGCAACACACGCAGGAAGAGAGCCGCTTTAGAAAGCACCATCATCCACCTGAGGGTTGATCCAGGTGAGAGTTTGTCTCTGGATCAGAACCAGCAGCTCCTGGTTCTGGATCTCAGATCAGATGATGATGATCTTCAGTGGGATCAGACTAACTCCTGGTTCTGTTCTGCAGGTCGAGGACACATTGGACTGGTAGCTGGGCTGGTGGTCGTTCTGGTCGTTGTTCTGGCTGTGAGTATCTGGAAGAAGATGAAGACTCCCTCTCCTCCTCCTCTTCGTCGTGATGAAGCTGTAGAACCTCTTCAGGTGTAGCTAACCGCTGTGACATCATCAGACCATGTTGCTGCTCTTCCCTCCGTTTCCATCTTTAAAACTCGGACATGAGGAAAAGTTCTGGATCTCAGCAGCTGGTTCTGCTCTGCCACTAGGGGGCGCCACATGCTGAAGCTCTGCTAGTCTTCACTGTGATCTTTGTTTTCATAATGTATACATTTCTGTATATATTTGTAGATTATTTATAAAAAAATCTTTGTATAAATAAATTTTTTCCAAGTTTCTTGTGTTCTGATTAATTTTTGCTCCCTGCATGAATCTTTGTTCACCCAGAGGTTACAGTTTTTCTCAAATCATTTCTGATATTTGCAAAACAGTTGGTGCATTTTTAAATCAATCCATGCATCAAAACAGCATGAATAACCTGCAGAATCCAGTTTCT